GTAAGTCGTCTGTGTTGCATATTTTGTCATAGATCTATAGGGCATTAGAAAAGTCTAGTTGAAAGAAGAGAAAAGGCCACACAATCTTCTAGCTCAGGTTCTGTCAAGAGAATCAACACTTGGAGATGGGCGACCACTACTCCTGACAGAGGGCCTTGAGGTGATAAAAGAATGGGTCAAATGTAGAGGAAATAAGGCACCTGTGTGATCACTCTGTTTACCTTCATACACATATATATCTTATTGTGAAGGCCATTATTCCGGAAGCTGCAGCACCAAATGTATTGATTAACATTTTGAGTTGTAATAGTTTTGTGTGAAGCTACTGTAAGATGATAAGATGACTAAATCTTGTTTCCTCTCGCTGACTTCCACATTGGTGATACTGACGGATACTGACGGATCGACTGACCGATGGAACCACAGCTCTGGGCCACTTTGCAAAATATCTGGGAGTTTCACGGTAGCCGCAAAAAAAACGTTAGGGTCACCTTTGTGGAAGTCAACGAGAGATGCTACTTCTACAACTATACTACTACGATTACTACACTACACAGGCGACATAGTGGTGCAGTGTCTTCATCACTTTTTAGCAAGAAGGATCTGGGTTCAACTCTCACATGGAACAAGGCCTTTTCCCGAGTGGAGATTATGGTAAAGATATATTTAATTTTCCTCTGCATTTGACCCATCCTTCAATGCCATGAGGACAACCTGTCTGGAGCAGTGGTGACCACAGTGCAGGGCCTGGTGACTCATCTCCAGTTGTTGTTGCTTGGACAGGACTCGAGCCAGGGTTTGCATGTTCTCCCCGTGCATAGGTTTCTCCTACCACTAAAAACATGTACAGGAATAATAGAACTAGCCATTAAATTACTTCTTGTGTATTGAAAGCAGTAGTGATTCATTTATAAACACTTTCAAATGAATTACTATAACCCTAACCCTAACCCTACCCCTACTTCTAATAATACTAATAATTCAACTGCTATTTCTACTTCTACTATTACTACTACTACTACTACTACTACTACTACTGCTACAGGTACTTCTGCTCACCCCTTGGTTTAGGTGTTTGTCCATTTTAAAAGTGCCACTTCCAAACAGGACACCCCCTCTGTCCCCCTACGTTTTCTGCTAATAATCCAACTGCTGCTACTACTACTACTACTACTACTACTACTATTAGTAACACTACTGCTACTCCTACTACTAGTACTACTACTACTAATACTGCTACTGCTACTGGTACTTCCACTCTCCCCTTGGTTTAGGTGATTGTCCATTTTAAAAGTGCCACTTCCAAACAGGACACCCCCTCTGTCCCACTGCTAATAATATGTTTTCTGCTAATAATCCTACTACTACTGCTACTGCTACTGCTACGACTACTACTACTACTGCTAATGCTACTGGAACTACTAGTACTACTACTACAACTACTGCTACTGCTACTTGTACTTCTGCTCTCTCCTTACTTTAGGCGACTGTTCATTCTAAAAGCGCCACTTCCAAACAGGACACCCCCTCTGTGACCCCCGTGGAGCTGCGTGTCTGCTGGTTCTAATATTCCAATCACACTGCTTTCATTTGGCCCAATCACAGGGCTCCTACCGGGTCAGGCCAGAGGTCAAGCGCCATGGAGAGGGAAGGTCAAAGAGACAGCGAGCTCTTTGAAAACCGCTTCGAGGACGGGAAACGTAGGCTTAATCGGATTTAAACTAACTTACTTTGGTGTTGATAACTTACAGATGCTACTTCCTTTTTCTTTTAGTTTATTTTTCATCTAGATCGATCGTTAGTTCTGTTATAATTGTTTTGTATATGTGAGTAATAGTGTGTATTTATAAGATAGATCTATTGTGAAAACAAATTAGTACAATAATAAATAAATTACTACTATAATTGCTATAATTGTATTTGTTTATCATTTCCTTGCTTGCATTTTATGTGAGCAGTGGTCAAACTATTATTGCAATGAATACTACTACTAGTGTATTGTACTACTGTTAGCAGCAGCAGTAGTAGTAGTAGAAGTAGAAGTAAGTACTACTATACCGGATATAAGAAAAATGAGAATTGTGCGCATTTCTATTTAACATAATTATTGAACCATTTTCATACTTTTTTGTGGTTTTCAATTGTTATTTCCTTTACTATTTCTTGTTTACATACTTCAAAGTGCATGTGTAGCATTAACAAAGTTAAATACATAAATAATATAACCGTAATAACATTATATACGCCCTTGGATATATCAGATGCCTTTATACTTAATACTTTTCCGATCAGTTCAAATTCTAAGTGGAGAAATAACAGATACAGATAAATCCACCACTCATGTATTCTGACGTTCCTATCTGCAGGTTCTTCCATGTCCTGAAATCACACTGTGTTTTCAGTTAGCAACAGATACTTTTTTACCGCGCACAATTATTTGGCTCTAAACAATTAAGCCTAGCCTCCAGGATGAGTCGGGCGTTCCAAAAATATGAAAAATCAGTCTTCAAAGTCTGTCAATGACCTGTCAGAGAGTAAAAATCACATTAACCTTGAGTTGTTGTTTTATGGAACAGGTACAAAAAGTGTGCATAGCAAATTACTTGATTTATGGCACGCTAAGTATTTGTAGAAAATAATCATTTAAAGTAATAAAGTGTAAAGTCAAAGCTGGGGAATGTAACTTTTAGTTTAATAAATAATACATGTTTGTCCCAACAGAAGGCGTATAGTTATACGAAGGAGCTTTGTGAGTCACTATTTGACACTTTGGGTTGAGAGCTGATTGGCTGAGTGAGGAGTCCTCTCTTTTATGTATGTATGTGTATATGGTTATGTACGTGTATGTTTGTATGTGTATATGGATATGTCTGTGTGTGTGTGCGTGTGTGTGTGCGTGTGTATATGGGTATGTGTATGTATGTATATTTATTATGTATGTTTCTGTATATATGGATAAATATTGCTCATGTATTCATTTGTTTGTTTATTTATGATTCTTATTTTGTATTTATGATTTTTTCTTGATTAATATAGAATGACAGCTGATTGCCCTCCTCCTCCTCTGCTCCACCCTTTGCATTTAACTTTGCAAACTAGTGATAGAACCAACTCCTTTTCAGAGCTGAATGTGGATTATATCATTTTTTATGATTTCAAAGTTAGGTACTCCAGCTTGAAGTGTGTGGGCTCTACTATAATCAGTGTTTAAGCTAAAGCTAACTGCAATGATTGATGTGTGTGCAAAAGTAAAACTGAAGGAGACAAATAAGTAGTTTGCGGCCCCCAAAACAACAACACCTAAAGTGGCTAATGCTAAGTGTGATTTTAGCCTCTATACTTGAAGAGTCTGGGGCGAGCTCGCTTATATCGGACTATATGATTCACAAACAGCTAATGCACAAGGCAGCACACGGAGCTAAGTGCAGGCTGTGTCAGACAATAATTGTTGTTTGGATTTGGGCTGAAGACTAAGGAGGAGACTTGCAATTCGTCTGGGCAAAAATTGGCGCTCAAATTATTCAATACATGGATTTTCAGATGTATGCCACAGTATAATGCTGATAAATATGAACCCTATGGCATATATATCATTATTTGACTTAAAGCTGGGCAACCTAACTTTTTCTTTTTTGGAATTAATGCATGTTACTTGTCTCAACAGAAGAGAATCTTGTAAAATGTTGTAAACAAATCAGACCACATCATACTGTTTTCATCTTATTAGATTTTTTTTTATATTTGAAATACTTGGAAGAGCCCTGTGAGTCACTATTCTACACTTTGAGGAAGGTTTTTTTTCACTTTTCTGTCTGAAAAAGCAGATCTAAAAATGCATTTTCAGACAGGAAATTGTTTAGGTAGCGGTAACTTATAAGAATCCTGAAAACAACATGTAAATTGATACGGCAGTATTTTGACCACAATTCTGCACTCTTTCTCCAATAGTATGGCCTAAAATATTGTAAATTGACTTTGAACATGACATGACACTATTCCGGATATGTTTATACTCCTTTAAATCAAATCTTCACCTGTTTGATTTATTAGCACAAACAGCTGTTGTGTCGACGCCTTACATAAATCGTCGTTAATCAGATGAATCAGACAGAGGTAATAACATATAATGACAAAATAATCAGTGTTGCCAGAGAATTTATCTGTCCAACTTTTAATACAATAGAAATGAGATGACTGTATATGTCTTCACTGAACTTGCTGAACTGAAAGCAGGTGTCGATCTATGTAATCTAGAAGCCTTGTAACTCTTAGCCAAAGACTTGAAATTAGTTACTATTTTTTTGTACTTTTTAACATTAAACACTTCTTTTACACCAACTTGCATTTTGGAGTGAAGTGTCTATTGGTAGGTAATATTTTCATTTTAAATAACTTATGTATTTGTCCCCAGATAACCGGCCATTATGTACTAATCCGATGTGACCTTTTCTGAACAACAAATATTCTTAAAAATACAATGGACAAGGAGCCCACAATTTACAGTTATTTACTGTTTTCAAGCAGATTATCCAATCAGAGAGGAGAATGAGGCTCACATTTGGGTTGGCAGTTTGTGAAATCAGGCTATTTGGCTTTATGTTTCATTTTATTCTTTTTTAAATAAGACAATTCATAAACGAGAGATACTGTAGAACCAGAGATGGGTTGAAAGCAAAGAAAACAGCTAAACCCCAGCAAGAGGATTGCATTAGTAACCAGTGTTTAGTCGCTACATGTGTCACGGAGCGGGGTTTATGACACACAAAAAAAGTGAGATTGTAACTGTAATGACTATATTGGACCAAAAGTGCACATACGGTTACATACGGCCCCTTTAAAAGTATTTCTGCTCTGCTATCTGCTCGTCCTGCTGGGGCTCCACATACTGGTCTTTGATAATCATTTCCCCCTGACCAGTCTGTGTCAGGGGAAAATCATCATCAAATACCTACCACGACTTTAGGCGAAATATGAATAGTTAAATTTGGGCCTGCACTCACCCGGCTGCCTTTCTCTGGGAGGCACTTGCATCCTCGGCTGCAGTCTCGGCCATTGCACGGCTCGTCAGACTTCTTATCCTGCAAAACACAAAAGAATCCATCATGAGTTTCTTTCATTTTTGTAAACGTTGTGGAACACAGTTTATCCAGTAAGCACCATTCCAATTCCTTCAGAAAGTGGTGTCTTCCTGTGCATTCAAGGATCCACATGCCAATAATCAGGTCAATCCAAGAGCAAAACACAACATATACAGTATGTATAATGTGTACAGTGTGCCTTAGGGTTTATCATTAGCAACATCACACATATCTTATTTCTTAGTTCCAGTTACAAAGTGAAAAAATTTGAACCCGCATGACTTGTTAAAGTAAACTAGATATATGGTTACATCAACAACTTTTGACTCAAAGGAGAAGAAAGAGAAGCACTGTATAAGAAGCTTTTTTTCTCATAAATATTACATTGTGTTGGTCCAAACAGAAAGAGTCCAACAAAAGTAAAAGGTTGTGCACAAAGCTGACCACATTGTGCAGCTATTATCTTATTATGTTATCTTTCTTTTACCAAAAGAACCACGTGAGTCACTATTTGACTGTTTGGGCTGATAGCTGTCTGAGTGAGAGAGGTCTCGCTTTTTACATTGTTCAAAAGAAGAGAAAGAAGTCTATAAATACAAACATGTGAAAACTAGTGATAAAACAAACTACTTTTGGGAGTGTCCAAATGTTTTAGTAGAGGACCACTTTAGTTCAGACTTACCCAGAGACAAACCAGATTTCAAAACTGTTTCAACTGGATTTGGGCTGTTCAGAGTTTAAAAGGGTACGATATGTATAACTCGTGTTATCTATCTCACAGCTACATTAACAAGGTTTTGTGATACAATACAAAACAAAAATCTGTATGTACAACTGGTTTCCTGATCTTTACATCATTGCCAATAAAGGTACAGCAGCCAGCAGCAGGTTGATTTGAAGTTTGCTCGATGACAATTTTCTATATACTGAGTTTATCTTTTGAACATTCTGAGTTTTTTTTTCATGTTTTATCTTATGTTTTAACATGTTTGTAAATGTGTATTATTTCATGTCTCTGTAAAGCACTTTGGGTTGTGGGTTGTGTGGTTTACCCACATAAAGATTAACCCACGTGTCATTCCTCACATATCTACCCACCATCGCACCAGTTTGAGTGGCATAAAAGTGCACAAACATACTTTTAATCTATTCACAATGGATCTACGGAACAAAACACAGACACAGAGAGTTTGACAGCTATGATCCTTTCCAATTATCTTTAGATTTGACTCAAAACATCACACGGGTTGTGAGATTTTGGCTTTATCATGGGAGTCAAGTGTTTAAACTTTAAGGTCAAGACTGGTATCCCGATGTGATTAGTGAATGAAAAGCGCTGTAGGGGTTAGGGCAGGGCTACGGCAGGGCAAGAGGGACAAAAACGCTCTCAAATGGGGGTAAAGCTATAGGTTAAAGTGACAAAAAGAATTGTGGGAAAAAGCTAAGGTCAAGTTTTAGGTGTGTGTGTGTGTGTGTGCTCATATGATTTGAACTCAGCGCAGAGAGGACCCCCACGATGAGGGTCTATTGGAGCGAGGATGGATCGTGACGGAGGCCTGGGAACCAACGCAGAATTATGAAGAAATATTAACCAAAACAGGTAGGGAAAGTGGTAATAGTTGCGGTTATTGTAAGAAAAAAAAAAAACACCAAGTTTTTAAAGTATGTTCGATTATAGACCAAACAACAGTAAAATTGTCAAGTTCAGAAGTGCTTAAAGATGGTATAATTCAATTGATCTGACTAAAAGAAAATCTAAACAATTCTTTGTTTATGGAACAAACAAAGAAACAATTTCACTCTGATGGAATAAGATGAAACCTACAGATACTGGCTACAAAAAAATAATAATCAATGAATAGATTTTTTTTTTTTTTTTTTTTTTTTTCAGAAACAATGTATTTTGCTTGTATTTTACAAGACAGAAAGAGTCTTGTAAAAGTAAAATGTTGTGAAGAAATCAAAGCACAACTAATTAGAAAACCTGTTATCTTTTCCATATTCAAAAGATTGTGCCTTAGGAGACAGGCAGAAAAGGTTCATTATTATTATTAGTTCCATTAAGTTCCATTTTTGTGCATTGAAAGTTGCATACCCCAGCTTTAAGGAAAAACAGAATAGTTGAACGTGATAGAGTTGCAAAAGAAATGATCATAAACTGATTGTCAAGGAAACCAAATAAGAGAAAGAAGATGCAACAAACTAGTAAAGTTAATGTGACGAAAATAACCAAATAAACGAACTTCTACATAAGTGTACTTTTTAGAGAATATATTGAATTGACATAATTTATCGTTACTTCAACAATCCCTATACTTCTGGTTTTAGTCTAACAAGCTGAGGGACCCGATGTACAGTACATTATAATACATTTGAAGAACTCACTGGTCCATTCCTACTGCTTTGATCTCAGGTTTATTCTAATCATTTTGACAGCAGAATTGCACACAGAGTCAGACCAAAGAGGCACCAGGAGGGAAACCCAGTTTGGAACGAAGTCAAAACCAACGTAGGAAAAAGACTATTTTATCCAGTGTTCAGAAGTGGAGACCATTTATGTTTCAATTACTAAGAAAATGGCAGTGATAGAATCAACAAAATGCTTTTCAATCGCCATATTTGAAATCAGTAATCAAGATTGTGTTTTCTGCATGTTTTGAAATAGGGCTCCAAGATGCTTCCCCAATTCAGTTTTTTGTATTACAAAGATAGAACTTGAGTATTGTAAAAGATCTCTTGATTTGATTATATTGTGAGGATTTGTCAATGAAAAAAGCAAGTGTCTGTCCTCTTGTTGCTGGGCAGAAGCGATATTTTCTCATTCTCAATAACATATGGCTGTCGATTATTCTGCAACCTAACCCTAACCATGTTGGAATTCAATATTTTCTCAAATACATTTGATTTGTGTGTGAGGTAATCATTTCATATGTACACTTTTTATGATGCATCTCACTTGAGGTTATTATTTATACACTAAACAAACTTAACACATAGAGATATTTTGCACAAATTCTGCAGGTCTATGTTGAACTAAGACACTTTTTCTTTAGAATAACGATAACACTTTCCTAAGAAATTGAGAGGAGAGAGATTACACTATATTTATTTTGATACAAGCTTGACTTGCATCCATGCATCAGTGACTGATCAGTTGGTTAAGAGGTTTCATATCATTCAAGTGTTTTGAGATTTTATCTGGCAGCATTCATCCAAACCTGTCCACACCTGCGTTTCAGAGATACATGAGAAAAGATCCTCCAGGGAACAGCAGACCTGGTTTAGACCTTTAAATGGGAAGAGGTCAGAAGACAAAAACACGTGACTGTGTGACTGGCAACCCCAGTGACATGTACAAACAAACAACAGAGGCAGGGAGAAAAAAAAAAGAGATTGTCTCAAGATAGTTGTTACTTTCTCCTTTAAAAAAAACAATGGATTAGACCAGGATATATTTAAAAGGGGTTTGAGGAAGCTGGTTTGCAAAAATATGTTTCCCACTGAATTTATACTGATTTAAAGGGACTGCCTGCAATATATTTTACTTGTCCCCAGATAAGAATAGGTAAATATGTACAGGTGATGTTTGACTTTTTCTGAACCAATTTTTGAACTTTTTTAGTTATTCTTGAATAAAAAAACATGCACATTATCCAATCCTAGTGCAAGCTTGTACATACCAACCCTTTGACTATAGGAATATAATAAAATAGTTATTAGATTGTGGGAGTGTTTTGGGCCTGTGTCTGGTCTATGTGAATAATGTGTGTGTGTGTGTGTGTGTGTGTGTGTGTGTGTGTGTCTGCAAGTCTATCTTGTCATGTCTACAGCTTTGGAAAGAAAGAAAACACAGCAACATAAACAAAAAAAAAATCTGTGCATTGTCCCTCAACTGCTTATCTGTTTTTTTTCTGTTCCAAACTGGTTAAACTTTACATCTCTCACGTTGCGCATACATTTCCCAACATGCTCTGTCCCGTTACACAGAGCTGTTTCCATCACTCCTGTCAACCCCGCATTACTTTAGCTATGAGCCTATTCAATGTCCTAAAATCAATCTTGCCTGTTTAACCATACTTTACTGTACAAACACATGGGTTCTGAAAAGCCGTCTGGGGCTGCTCACCTCCGAGTGGCATTTGAAGCAGGTGGCCGATGTCTAGGCTTGTTCCCTCATTCCTATTGGCGCGGATGTTATCCCATATACTGGTACTGTCTAGAATGGGCGCCCCGGACCGACAATACCATCATTACTTAAAATACCACGTTATAATCAGAGTTGGAATCGTGCAGGACTTTTTCTTTGACTGACGATAAGAAGAAGAGATGGTAGTGTCAGAGAGCGGATACACAGGTCAGAGCTAGTTCAAAAAGGTATATTACGGACAATTATCAAAACGTATGGAAAATGGTCATGGGCAGCCCTTACAGACCAATACTAATTTGTTTCTTGGATCTGTGTTGGCGAATTCAATGATTGTGTCCTCCGAGAAAACTATTGTTGCTATTTAGGGCTATACAAGATTTAATTGTGATCCCAAAACAAATGCTCATTCATATCATTCATTGAATCATAAATAAGTCATTTTGTAGTTATTGCAACAAGCTGTGGCCTTGAGCAAGTATTGATTTAAAAACGCTCACAAAAACAGGACATGTAATAGATCCAGAGGAATATTTTAATGTATTAGTTATTTAGGTTAATAACTAAAACTTTTAAGAAGTTATTGTCAGGTTACTGGCATTATTTGAGCCTATTGTACTACAAAGAAACAGGGAGAACATGCAAACTCCAATCAGCTTTCCCACTCAAATGAAAACCTTTAGTACCATAATAGTACCATTATTTTAAATTATTTAACAGCCGTTTGATATTGTTAGAAGCATTCAATCTAATCATTGGTGTAGATATCAAATATAAAATGCTAGCATCTTGCCGGTATTTTGGAAAAAGTAATAACGTATGAAGACTGGAAGTTTTATTTATTCTCCACTAGAAATGGTTCCATAGAGAATAACTTTCAAACCATCTGACTTGT